AAAGTCCTATCCAATATCAATACATAATATATATACGTCATCGCAAGACTCATAGTACATCATATCTCTAACATCACGGAAGACTCACAAATGCAAGTGGATAAGGCTGCATCGACTGTCACTTCCTTCCCATGACCTGAAAATGGTAATAATGAAGGGATAAGCACAATGGCTCAGTAGGAGGTGCCTAAGACATACATCTTAATGACCCCGTGAATCTACACAAAACATAGAGTAAAGATATACGGGATCATGTCATTTGGGGAAACACACTAACTTCAATAACAACAACATCAACAACAACAACAACAAGGCAGGCTATCCAACCATATGTATACAATGCATGTCAATGTAATGCAATAACATGCCAATGCCGCTCCCTATTTTTCAAAACATTTCGGTTTTACCGTTCTAAATCGTTAATGCAACTCCACCCATAACAGCTCTATGGCACTGCGAGAGAAGGATTGACTAACTATCTCCAACCACATGGCATCTCCAAGGCGTCGTTTCGGGCCTAGGTAGCTCAACCATGCTAGGGTCTCTCCCGAGTTTCCTTTAGATCACATTAACGCCACGGAATACTAGACAACTCATCGGCGCCCGGATTTTCACAAATACTTTTCAAAATTATATCCCCAAAACAAAATTTTCATTTCCTTTCAAATCAATTCACCCATTTCTTGCCCAATGATGTACATGTATGCATCATGTTTTTCAATGTCAATATAAATATAAAATTTTACATAATTCCACTATATCATAATTGCATGCTTTTAAGGGAAAAAACTATCAAGCTCTCAGCAAAAATTCATCAACATAGCATAATTTAAATAAAACTTCTAAGGAATTTCATTATATTTTTGCATAAAAACCATCCGGCTCATCAAATATACAAGGCAAGAAATATATATACACATAAGCATGCTTTTTTACATTATAATAACTAGCACATAGACATTCACCACATAGATAATACATTGAAAATCATATATACAACATAAAACTCATATTAAGTAAAATTCTAACACATCAAGCATGCTTATACATTAAAATCAAGAGGATGATTCACCAAACTTAAAGAAAATATGTATTAGAATACCCTTACCTCAATTAGAAGAGCAAATCCACTAAAACCCCCAAATTCAAAAATCACCAAAGTGGTCCAAACGAGACTTTGCTCTGATCAATACAAAACCCTCGTCGTGCTCGTCGACTTTACCTTCAGTGGCAAAGCCAAAATCCCAAAGATACAACCTAGATCTAAGCTTGAAAGTGTGATAAAAGAAAAAAGAAAAAGAAAAAAAATGAAATGAAATGAAATGAAATTGAGAGAGAAAATTTCGTGGCCGAGAGAAGATAAAATGAGAACTCTGTAATGACTAATAAGTCATTGATGAAAACTTAATAAAATGGTGGGTCCCATATCCTTTATAAAAATATTGATGAGCGTTGAAAAGTACACTTTTAAACCCCTTAAACTTGAGTGTTCTAGGACCTTTATCTATCTTATTTACCCGTTTTAGTACTTATTTGTGTTTTTGTCTATTTCAGGTCAATAATGTTAAAATGAGCTAAAAATGGATTCTTAAGGCCTTTTTGGAGTCAAACTAAGTCTTAGTGATGATCCGAAGCAAAAAGAGGCTGATTTGGAGCAAAAGGAGGCCAACGCTGAAAAACTGCCAAGTTAGATCGATCCAACTTTTTCTCTGATCTATCCAACTTCTCTAATCGATCCAACTTTTGCTCTGATCGATCCAACTTCTCTGATCGATCCAACTTTTGCTCTGATCGATCCAACTTCTCTGATTGATCCAACTTTTTCTCTGATCAATCGAACATTGCTGGCAGCGAGCTGTCTTATTCCGTGCGCGCCCAAAAGTCCACTTATCACATAGTACGAGATTAGATATTTTGGGGCTATATTCCTGACTTAGTGACTAAGAAAAGAGCATTCTATATAAAAGGAAGAGACCCATTTGTAAATAAGCTTTTTATCATTTTATTTCTACATTGTAATTTTACTTTATCTCTCTAGAAAGTTAGAGATTAGGGTTAGAAGAAAAGAGGGAAGTGGAGGCACATCTCAAGAACACATCTCTAGCTCCACTCTCTCTCCATCTCTAGAGCTTCAAAAAAGAAGAAGAAGAAGAGGAAGAAGAAGATGGAGCCATATTTGGAGCTTGATTTCATGACCACATCTACCTCCTCCATGATTGGCTAGATCTACACTTGGGGCTTGAATGAGTCCTAAGTCTTGTGTAATCTAAACCCTTGTATTTCTATTTTTGGGGATTTATATATATTGTTGTGATTAGTGTTCTAGCCTTGTGAATTTCATAAATCTTGGTATATTTCTATGATCTTTATAGTTTAATTCTTCCTATTAATTCTCTAGTTTATTTACATGTCTATGTGATTAAATTAGGAATTATTTCTTACATGATTCATATGGATTAATTCTTCTCTATTTGATTACATGTTGTCTTATATGTAGTTATTTGGGAATTAATCTCAACACTAGTTTTTCTATATTAATTGCATGTCTATGTGTGGTTGATTGAAAATCTAGTGAGGCTAAGCATGTGTTTTCATTGAATGGGTTTGTCAATTAATTTGATGGTTTATACTTATACTTGATGGGTTATTCTACAATTTAATTCATGCTTGTAGGTAGGTAGACAATTTATACTTGCTTAGATATTTCATGTCTTATTATTGCAAATTTCATGATTCTCTAGATTGATGTACGCTACAATTGTTGCTACTTAAATGGGTCATGTGTAAAATTGATGGGTTGTGCTACACTTAGTTTAGGTAGACAATTCATACATAAATTAGATGGTCCATGCTTAATATTGCAAATTCCATGATTCTCTACATTGATGTGTGCTACAATTGTTGCTACTTAGATGGGTCATGCTTAAAATTGATGAGTTGTGCTATACTTAGTTTAGGTAGACAATTCATACATAAATTAGATGGTCCATGCTTAATATTGCAATTGGTAGTTGCATTTTGTTCACAACAATGTATTCCCGATTAATGGAAAGCAAGTGGTTAATTACACGAGCTTAGTGGTGATTTCAACACCCTAAGACCTCTCTTTATATTTCTTAAATTCCTATCTTTAACTAGTTTACTTTACTTGCATTTTAATTTCATTGCACCTTAGTTTAATCAAACTAATCACTCTCCTTTACAATCAATTGATACATTAAAGTTGAAGTTAAATTTCAACATGTATAATCCCTTGGGATGATCCCTACTCACTCTTGCTACGTTTGTAATAGTGTTGGTAGTGGTTTTTATAAATTTAAATTTGACCTAAAAGGCTTTTCTTGAACCGCACATTCACTATATCAATTTGGCATGTAGGAACGGCCTCATCTCGTCAAATATCTTCCTTTAATATTTATATATATCTACACACACACACACACAAACCCAATTACAACCACATAAATAAATTAATATTAATCACACAATTTTACATCAAATAATAATGCATGAAATGCAACAAACCCTAAACACAATTCATGTAACTCCGGTAGGGAGTCCCACCTGCGACCTCCTGGCCCGAAAAACGAAAAAAATACCGAAATGACAACCAATGCATTTCCAAGAGTCTGAACTTGAGGTAATGCCCTCCTGCAACACGACTGGGTACATCCCACGGTGTCTGACACGCAAAGCGAGAAGAAACAAAATAAATAATTCAAAAAAGAAAAAAAAATCCCCCAAATTAAAAAATAGGAAAAATTAGGGACATCACAATTGCTGTCACCAGTCATCACGCGCTTCATGAAGAGACTCATCTTCACACTCGCATCCAACATGCACCCTATCGCCATTCCCACGCGCAACCACATGCTGGGAACTGTAACTCGCGTTAAGTCCACGCGCCCTACGCGCTTCCAGTCATCTTCTTCCTCCAGTGCGCGTGCTTCACCCATTCTTTGTATGTTGGCAAGAACTTCATCATCGGTCTCGTCATCCTTGCATATCCATCTGTCATCTGTTCGCCGAGCCCTTGCCGACCATTTAGTCGTTCTGAGCTCGTTGCCGCTACAAAGACAGTAAGTTCTATTGCCGTTTTCATCCTTAATCGCCGGTTAGTTCCTTTGTCGTCGGTAGTACAGACTCGCTTAGGGCATCACCGGTAAAGCACAGTCCATCACTGTCAATCAGTCGTTTGCTTGCCTTTTCATCACCATCTCCGTCTCTGGCATATCTCTGCCTTTGCGGGACTCCTTGATCAAAGTTCATTCTTTGCTTCTTGGGTTAGTCATTTTCTCACACCAATAGCTGCAACTCCACGCCAGAAAGTGGAGATCGACAAAAATGTTAGGGTGTTGGCAAGCAATGGAGAAAGGCGTGACTTAGAGAGAGAGCTAGTGTAGGTAGCTTGGAGTTAATTAGGCTTTACCATGGTTAGATATTTAATCATCCAATTTGTGGACGTCTTTTTTATTAACTTTTGTATTACACTTGGCACACTCTTATTTGTCTATGTAAGCATCAACAGATAATCCGTGCTTATATGGCCTTTGGCAAGCTTTGTTCTTTTGCTTGCATGTGTTGCTGAAAAATGAGATTTTAAAACGAAGTGATAATGAGCGTTCATCATTTGGTGAATTATTTATTAACAATACAAATATTTAAAAATAGGATAATGGCTAATATTTTTTTAAAAAAGTACAAATGTAAAAATGGATACAAAACTATGGATTTAACCTAAAAAACATATCCCTTTTATTTTTTATTAGTGTGCTGTTCGGCTTAATATTTAGTTTTGAGTAACATTTTTCTTTGAAAAAAAAAATAAATAAATAAAACGACAAAATGAATACAATCAAGTCATCAACCCGCTCCCAGGGCGTAGCAGTGATAGTAAAGTACTTACATGCTGTTGCCGCGGCCCGAGTTCTCTCAAGCCTAATATTTTCTCAACTTAGTTCCTGGTGTTAACTTTTTTTTTTTTTTATAAAAAAAAAAAAGAAAAAAGAAAAAAGGGTCATCAACCCGTCAATCCTTATTCTAATATGGATCTATGAGAACCGGAGTTGGGGGAAGGAAAACCATAATCCATATGTAGTAACCTATAACCCACTTTCCAAACAGACCATAGCCATGCCTTCTCACCGATCTATGTCAAGTCTCTGAGCTCCTTCTCACTTTCGGCTTTCTTGAACAGTTGAACATGTTGTAAACGGAGATATACAGAATAAGCAAAGAGTTGCCGAGTGTAATAACACCACAACAACCACAAAGAAACAACTTGTTTCAAAGTTTTGGAGATTCGCTAATGGAGTACAGAAAAATCAAAGACCAGGTTAGCTATTTTGGATCTTTTACCTGAAATCTCATCTGGGTTTTGTGTTCTTTCTCAATTCTCTTTAATAGAATTCAATGCCATTGAATAACTGTCGAGATTTGATTCACTTTTTACATTTTGCCGATGCCATCTTTCGCCAATATTCTGGATTCCTTATCTGTGTGTTGCAAACTCAGTCATTCGTAAATTCCATGTGAAAATTTTCATGATTATCATTGATTTTGATCTGTCCGCTTTGTCTAATGTCTACAACTTATAGTTCGTGCAACTAATTTTCAATATATATATATATATATATATATATATATTAATTCAAGTCTTCTTTTTGATTCTCTGTTCAGTCACTTCAGCAACTTTCAGCATTAGATCGAAGTCTTTCCATTTTATTTCTGTATAAATTCAACCAAATCACTTTCAATTGTAGTTATTTAGATGTGCTAAGAACCCATTTTTTAAGATTTATTATCTTTGTTGAATCAGGGTGTGTTATCTATCATGTTCCTTGTGTATTTAGAAATTGTGCTTATATGAGTTGTATATTGCAAATTGTAAATTGCGAATTGATTCTTTTGATTGCATTTAACATGCACTCATATTATGATTAATATATGCAACTTATAGGATGAAGATGGGAAGGCAGCTGACGATGATATAGAGAGCTTACATGGGAAAGCTCTTTCAGGTGGTATGTTTTTGTTAAAGCTCAACCTTGAACTTGATGCAGCACCCACTGGGTAATCTATCATGCTTTCTGGGAATCATGAGCCCATATGCATTTGTCTAGTCCTAATAATAGCCATTGCTGTTGCATTTACTGTAGGTAATGTGGCCGTCTTTGGAGGTAGCTCTACCGAAAGATCTAAGTGGAAGCTCAAGTAAGACATCATTCAAATCGTGGTGGTGTCTTGTGCACTGGATAAAACAAATAGAAATGATATCTTAATCTAATATCTTATTTCTAACTCTTTCCCATTTGATATAGGTCAGTTGTCACACTTGCGCTGACTGTGCTTACGAGTTCACAAGCAATACTCATTGTCTGGTCTAAGAGAGCTGGAAAATATGAGTATAGTGTTACAACCGCAAATTTCTTGGTGAGAAGATAGTATTATTCATTTGTAATAAAATGGAAGGTATGAGTCTCAAAATGTTAAATCTATGATAATTATTCACCTTATAACACCAAGGGCGGTAATAGAATCAATTCTCATAGGAATTAAGGTTGACCTTTAGTTTCCTCCTTTTGGAATCAGGTGGAGGCTTTGAAATGTGCATTCTCCCTCGCAGCCTTGGGAAGAATCTGGAGAAATGAAGGTGTTACCGATGACAACAGGTTTGCTATATCATCTTTTCCTTTTTCCTTTTTCTTCGTTTGTGTTTGTAGCTTGTAATTGTCACATATCTTTGGGATACAGTACTCTTATATATTAACAGATCTGCAATGGTAGTCAATTAGGTTTTTTTTCCAAAACTTTAACAATTATGTGCCAGAAAGAAATTTCAATATCAAGGATAAAGTCTGTCACTGTAATACATAAAGGGATTTAGGCCCAAAATTCGATTGGTTTTACCTAGGGAGAAACTTCTGACCGCCATTTTGCGGTCCCCTTTCTTGTATCACTCTCCCAGTGCAACCTTTTATTCTGGGAAAATAGTTCCTTCATCACATGATTCTAACATTATTATTTTAAACTTTTTTTCTGCCCTATATTCTTTACCCTGTATAAACTCAGGAATGGTATTAAGTTGGAATTATCAGTTTGGTAGGAGTTTTGCATGGTGTGATTGTTGACTAATTGTTCCATTCTTGTTATTTGAATGTTTCACTTAAATTCTAATCCACTGTATTATTGATCAAGGAACCCTTCATAAATTTAGATGTTGCAATTTTTTTCCTGTCTTGATGTATGCCTTGCTATTATTTAGGTTGAGTACAACATTCGATGAAGTTAGTGTTTACCCCATTCCTGCAGCACTTTACCTTGTCAAGAACTTACTTCAGGTAGGTCGTATTCTTCTTTGGTTTTTACAGTTATTAATTGCTTTGGCCTTCTTGTTTTCTGAGACATCACTTTATGTGGCAGTATTACATCTTTGCATATGTGGATGCTCCGGGATATCAGATACTGAAGAACCTGAATATTATCAGCACCGGTGTGTTATATCGAATTATTCTTAAGAAGAAGTTAGTCCTTCTACCACTTGTTAGATTCCTTTATGTGTTGAGAGATTAGAGGAGAAGCCCTTAAAAAATTGTTCGATGTAGGCTTGTAGCAAAGGATTATGGTTTGATATTTTTCCTTGTTTGTTCTCCTTTGATATAAAAGAAAGGAAAACTTTTAAGCAACACAGTTTCTTTATGCTTTTCCATTAATATTCTAAATCCAAAATTGTTTCTTGTGGATCATTATTAAAATCCATAAATAAGAGCATGTAGGAGCTGAGTAACTTTTATGCTCTTTACCCCACCATTGACAAACTGAGCTACTATATTAATCTGGAAGAAAAGTTTTCCAAAAGTCAACATTTAACAAGAAAAAACACCTAACAGAACAGGACTGTGGGGCGACCCTTGTTAGAAATCATGTTCTGATAATTAAATATATATTTTTTTCAGGTTAAGTGAGATTCAGTGGGCCGCTTTCATTCTATTGTGTGCGGGGTGCACCATAGCACAACTTAATCCTTCGTAAGAATGATTATGAAATTATTTTAATTGCATTCTTGTGGGGTCTCAATTTTGATTGTTTTGGTTGTTTAAGTGACATTGCTTTTACTGGTGTATTTGGCATATTGACCTTGAAATCTCTTTGTGAGTATCATTGGATAGTTCAATTTGATGGGCATGTTGATTGCATGTCTATGATATACAGCCTGACTTGTAGTCAAGTGATGAATGTATGTGAAATCATATTGCACTAGTGCCTAAACCTACAATCCTTTAATTACTTTAAACATTTCATCAGTTTTTCTAGACATTGTTCTGTGTGTATAGAAGGGAGGAACATTGTTCCTCACTTTCTGTTTTTTTTTTTCACCTCATTTAGATTTTCTTTTTGTGTTTTTTCATTTATTGCCATTTCTTACGCAATAATATTGTTTATGCAGTTCTGATCATGTTCTTCAAACTCCCTTTCAAGGTTGGGTGATGGCAATTGTGAGTTATTGACATTTTGAGTTTGATCCATCAAGTTGAAGTGAAAATTTGACTCTTCCTTTTTTTTTTTTTTTTTTTCTAGGAAAATGCTTCTTATTGTAACGGTTACTAATTCCTCTGTAGGTCATGGCCCTTCTAAGTGGTTCTGCAGGAGTGTACACAGAGGTAAATTTGTTAAGCATCCATTTTGCTCTTTATGATCAAGATCGGCAGTCATATTTAAAGCATTATTCATGTTCAGATGAATTCCTCATTCTTTAAAATTTTTCAGGATTTATTTGATTCTGGTTGGTAAATAGTTCTTTTAGAGCTCCCCATAGAAAATATTGGTTATGCTATGCAAAAAGGAAAAAAGTGGGAAATCTCAATCAAATCATCTAGATTCTTGTTTTTGTTTTGTTGATGAGCTTCCTTCTCCTTTCTGCAGGCTATTATTAAAAAGCGTCCTTCAAGGAACATAAACGTGCAAAACTTCTGGTTGTATGTCTTTGGGATGGCCTTCAATGCTATTGCAATAGTGATTCAAGATTTTGATGCTGTCGTGAACGAGTAATTTGAGATTGCTCTTTCCTTCTAATTTTACTCATGTTTGTTTTCTAGTCAACATTTGACATTTACAAAGTTTGAGCTTGTCTGCTGAGCATAAAACATAGCAGATTTAGAACTTATATGGGTTACATTGGCATCCTATAGTTCCACGATTATGGTGAAAATAGTAAATTAATGGCACCACATGGAGCTACCATTATATTGAAAATAGTAAATAAAGTAATTTGGATGATACTTGGTTTCCTAATTGATAGGAAGATATATATTTTCTCTTATTTCAGTACATATTTTCTTCTATAGGAGGTGCTCCTGTTAAGTCATTGTTATTAGGCAGTATACCAAGATTGAAAAGATCAAATTCCAGCAATGAACAAACAAAACGAAGATATGAACTGGGTAAATAGAAATATTTTCTACTTAAGAAAAAAAAAATAGAAATATGTTTCCAGTTTATCAAAATTATGAGCTTTTTCGACATCCATATGATCTGCTAGAGTAAATCGATTTCCATTGGGTCCCAAAGTCTTCAGTTACAATTTTTTTTTTTCTTTTTCTTGTAAGCATTAATTTGTTTGAAGATTCAACATGTTTTGTGAAATAGGAAGCTTTGCTATCACTGTTTTGTAACTAGTAAAGGTCTAATTTTCTTGTACAATTAGAATATATCACTCCTGTATGTTTTACTGGTAAATATTTTCTTGTACAGAGGGTTCTTCCACGGGTACTCATTGATTACAGTCCTCATGATTCTTAACCATGCACTAAGGTAATATATATCTCCTTTCAGAATTAATATAGTTCAGCAGTAGCTTAGTTGCTTCTACTTCCTAATTTTCTGTTTAGCAAGAATTAATTCTCATAAGAACGTGTGAATCTTAGTGTTTTTGTGGTAATTTTTTATTTTTATTTTTTTACGAGCAAGTTTTTCTGGTCGTTATAATGTTGCTTCAAACTTCATGAATCACGATACAATGTGAAAAATAACCAGGACTGCCTCAGGAACTGTTTATTGGTTGCATGTTGTGCATAATCAGTGAAAAATTTAGGTACATTAAATAATTATTGTTGTCCCTGAATTTAAATGAAGGACTGTACTGACAAACCTTTTTCAAGACTGATTTTTGTAGTTTGAGATATACATAAGGGGTCAAATCACATTACCTCCCTCTACTTTCAATTTTGTGCAAAAAAACCCCTACTAAAATTAAACCACCCACTGAACCATAAATCCTTATCACCTAAGAAGCACGGACACTCTAAAATGGGCGAAGAATCCGTGTCCGACACGTGTCGGACACGGACACGCGTCCGACATCCCCGACACGTGTCGGACATGCCAAAAAACGTGTCTGGAATTTTTTTATTTTTTTTATTTTCGGACACGGCTCGGACACGGCTTGGACACGGCACAGACACGGCTCAGACAGCTCGGACACGGCTCGGACAGCTTGGACACGGCTCGGACACGGCTCAGATACGGCTCGGACACACTTTTCTGGATTTTTTTTTTTTTTTTAAAAATTTTTAATGCTGATATGTTAATTTTTTTTTTTTTTTTTAAAATTTTTAATGCTGATATGTTCTATTTTTTGTTTTGTACTACCCTAAAGATGGTGATATATATATATACTAACCTAAAGATGCCACAATTCGCCGTGTCCGTGTCCTAAAGATGCTGATATATATATATATATACTAACATATCAGTGATATATATATATATTCCAACCTAAACATATCAGTGTTTTTTTTTTTTAAATTATTAATGCTGATATATATATATATATATATATATACTATTCGCCGTGTCCGTGTCCTAATTTTTTTGGATTTGCCGTGTCGCTGTGTCCGTGTCGTGTCGTATCCATGTCCCGTATCCGTATCCGTGCTTCTTAGCAGTTATCGCATTGCCCCCATACCCGTGACTGACCCATCAATTAGGTTGCGAAATGACAAAATTGACCTTATAATTTAATATTAAATTAAAACCATATAATTATTATTTTTTTTGATAAGTAAATTGTATTAAAAGCGTTCAAAAGGGGAACGCGTCCCAAACTATATAAAGACAAAACGGAGCCTATGAACTCAGAGCTCATAAAATCAACAATATCCTCAAGAGAGGAGTAGTCTCTCCCCTGATCCCAACAAAACAAATTACAAATGATAGAAAATTTTAACACCCCAATGGAGGATTCCTTTCCCTCAAAAGATCTTCCATTACGCTCTCTCCAAAGGCTCCACCAAATACAAAAAGGGGTCACCCTCCAAAAAACTCTGGCCTGAGCCCCCACCCATTGCCCCCTCCACAAATCTAACAACTCCCGAGATGACCGAGGCATGACCCAATGAATACCAAACAGGCCAAACATCAAACTCCAACAATCATGAGCCATAGGACAGTGCAACAAAAGATGATCCACCGACTCCCCATTAATCTTGCAAAGACAACACCTATTAACAATGATATGCCTTCGCTTCCTCAAATTGTCCAAAGTCAAAATCTTACTGCAAGCTGCAGTCCACACAAAAAAGGCTACCCTAAGAGGCGCCTTAAACCTCCACACCGTCTTCCATGGGAATGAGGTACCATGAAAACCAGAAAGGCACACAAAAAAGGACCGGACCTGGAACATCCCCTGAGAAGAAGGCACCCAAATCAAAGAATCTGCCCCAGACCCCTCCACCTCCTGTCCGTAAAGGAGAGCCAAAAACCCAGTGACATCATCCAGCTCCCAATCCTGAAAAGGAAACGCACATCCCAAGACAACCTTCCACTATCAAGGCGATAGTAGTCAGCAACCATAGCATGTTTGTCAACAGCAATCCTGAAAAGCCTGGGAAACAAAAGGGCCAAAGGCCTATCATCACACCATGGATCCTCCCAAAACCGGACATTTCTTCCATCCCGAACTCTGAATCTAATATGTTTAGAAAAAGCATCCCACCCCTTACCAACGGCCCTCCACACCCCCACTCCGCTAACAGACCTGACTGGTCTAACTGACCACCCTCCTCTCTCCTCCCCAAAGCGACATGAGATAACCCTTCTCCATAATCTGTGTCTTTCCTTACCAAATCTCCAAAAGTACCCCTCAGATCATTTCCAAGCAAGATCAACCACTGATTATGTGTGTGTATATATATATATATATATATACCAGCACACTATGCATCAATCACATTATTCACACACACACACACATATATATATAATATGATTCGAGGATGGCTTGATTCGCGAAAGGGATCGAATTCTAGGTACGGACAAGCGAGGTCTCGAATTTTCGGCAACCAGCAAGGTCGCTGCTTGCGACCACTGAGGTCGTCACCGGCGACAACCTCCTGTTGTATGGGGGATCGATGGTGACGACGAAGTTGGCCAAGACTCATAACTACCATAGCAGAGGAACACATGGCTGTCGTATGGGGGATCGATGGTGACGACGAAGTTGGCTTTGTACATCTCCGGACGCTAACCCGAACTTGATGTTCTCATTAGCTTCTGTCATGCCGGAAAGTAGGGTTTGCAGAGGGTGTTTTCTCTCTCTAAATTTCCACAATCTCCATTTAACCACTATAATTCCTTCTTTCCAGTGACGGCATCTCTGGCGACATATATGATAGCCTTTATTCAGTCTTTAATTGAGCAAAAATGGGTATTGTTTTTTTCAAGCTTTTAATAGGTTTGAATTTTTATTTTTTATTTTATTTTATTTTATTTTATTTTATTATTATTATTATTTTTTATTTGTCAAGCTGGGAAAGTTTTTAGAGAGAAAGATTATGAGTTTAAGAGAGAGGGTTAAGAGGAAGGTCTGGTATTTTTTATTTTTTTTTTCAAGCTGGGGAAGTTTAGAGAGAGAAAGGTTAAGAGTTTTAGAGGGAGGGTGATGAGGAAGAAGACCTAGGGGGTATTTTTTAATTTTATAATAATTATATATTTTTAATTTAACATTAAATTATAAGGTCAGTTTTGTCTTTTCACAACCTAATTTACGAATATGGGGGTTGTTGGAAATTTTTATCTATAAGTTGACTCAACGATTATGGCAGATTTATTGGGTCTTCAATATAGGCTAATTTTTAGGGATTTTATTTTTATTCTGATTTGATTTGATTTGATTTTATTCTCTTTATTTTGATTTGATTTTATTTTCTTTTCCATATTTGTCATTTTCCGCTTGTATATAATGATAGTCAGGCTTTCAAATTGAGTACGCCAATTTTACCAAGTTACTTTTTGGTATCAGAGCCTCAAACTTACGCCTCCCCCATCTCTCTCTCTTTAACCGCCTCTTTTAATATCTCTCTCTATCTCGTTACAGCCCCTTCCTTATTTTTTTTTTTCACAGGCCTTCTCTCTTTTTCAGGTCGCTGTTGCGACAGTCCTAGGGGGAGTCAATCTCCTCTAGGTTCGACCCCTGTAGGGGTATTCCCTTAGTCTTTTTTATGCACTAAGGGTCAGAAGACGTGTTTGTAATTTTTTGGGGTTGCCGAGATATTCGGCAGCATTTTCGGATTAGACCACCGTGTCTCCGGCTTCTTGGTTTGATCAAAATCAGGTTTATTCCTCCTTTATTTGACATTATTGGTAATCTGTTGAATTTATCTATTTAATATTATGGCTGAATCAAGTAATAATAAAGAAACTCTCTTTTCGGCGTAACACACATCGGCTCAAGGAGTTACTAGTGTGCTGTTGAATGGCCGTAATTTTGCATCCTGGGCTCGTTCCCTCCGCCTCTATGTTGGTGGAAGAGGCAAATCAGGGTGGATTTTGGGTACTGAAAAGAGGCCAGATATTAAAGATCTTAAATATGCTCAGTGGGATATGGACAATTGCACTATTTTAGGATGGATGTTTAATTCTATGGAGGAACGCATTTATAATACATTCATATTTTATGACTCTGTTAATGATTTGTGGACTGCTTTGAATCAAATGTATGCTCATTCTAGGAATGATGCTTGTATTTTTGAATTATATCAAGATATTGCTAAGGCCTCGCAGGAAGGCCTTAATTTGTCTGTAATTGATTATTTTGGGTATTTGAGATCTCGTTGGGAGGAACTAGCTCAATATGAGCCTCTCAATGAATTTCCTTCTGAGGCAGCCTCTCTTCTTGTCAAACGTCTTGATCGTCAGCATACCTATCAGTTTTTGATGGGATTACGCCCAGAATTTGAACCACTAAAGTCTCAGATCTTGAATGCATCACCAATGCCATCCCTGTTGGAAGCCTTTGCTACTGTTGATGGTGAAGCACGCAGACACCGTTTAATTCAGCCCTCAATTGTTCCTGTACCAGTGTCTGAGCCTGCTGGGGATAGTATGGCTTTTGCAGCCAACTTTGGATCACAAGCTTCTGGAGGTCAGATTATTTATCACCATTGTGGAGGGGTTGGACATGTTAAGGCTCATTGCTTCAAATTTCATCCTGAATTGAAGCAAAAATTTTCTAGGAGCCGTTTATCTGGAACTGGTTCTTCTCGTACTGCGGCTGTTGCAGAAACTCTTGTTCCTACTGGTGGATCTACTGTGTTTCCTGGACTGAGCCAGCTTCAGTCTCAGATTGGGCATATCCAGGACCAGCTTGGCTCCCTTGCTTCTAGAGTTAGTGCTCCTTTAACTGTTCCCACTGCAACTATTGCTACAGGTACTCCTACTGCATTTCATGTTAAGGCCAAACAGCCCACTTGGGTTCTGGATTCTGGGGCTAATGATCACATGACTGGTGAGTTATCAGTTTTTTCTTCTAATGT